TTAAGGTAAACTGCAAAGGTTGCTTTGATTTCTTCTTGCAAAACTCCCTGGTCTGTTTCTAGCTTGTGGCTGAGAACAACACAGATGTTTATGTTGCACGCAGGCTCTAGAGTGAGGAAAAGGAAACCATCTAGCAGCCTCTTTTGGCCTCCACAGGTGGTTTGCACCAAATACTGGTGCAGGTGATCATGCCTCCGTGGTTTCCGACTTCTTGATTTTATCTAAAATTCACTCTGGTTTTTTGGCTTCCTCGCTTGCCTGATCTTACCACACATGGCTGATGAGAGCCAGTTCCAGCCTCTTTTCCTGTGGGTCACACTCATCCTAGAGCTGAATTCACCTGGAAATCAACCTAATCCTAGACAGCCAGATCTTGTTTCCCATCCAGTCCAGTTCCACACTATCTTGCTTAAGAAAAGCCTCGAGTTTTCCTTTAGTTCACAAATGTATTCAGTCAAGGCATTTATCCAAGCCCTACAACAGTCAAGGCACTGTGCTAGGTCCTGACGTGGATCTACAAATGAAGAAGAGATGGGCTCGGTCTCCACTGTGCCAAGAGAAGAAATGGAATGCCCTGGAACAGACCACAAGTGATAAGGACCATTAGAGATGTACAGATAACATGCTTACAGCGTTCTGAAGGGAAAGGTATTTTATCTGTTTGGAAAGGCCTCATGAGAGAGAGGCACTCAGCTTGGCCTTGAAAATCGGATAAAATTTTAAGTATGAGGAAAGGAAGAGTATCTTGGACAAAGATACAGTGTGAGGAAAGGCACAGAGGTGTGGCAGGCAGGGCGCAGGTATAAAAGGGTACAGTTCAGTCTTCCCAAGGAATGGGATTGGTAAAGGGCTTTCTAGGGCCCTGGCCTTGGAAACTTTCAACACATCCAGGGAGGAGGGCAGAAATAAGTAGATGAAGGCAAGACTGGCACCCTGGGGGCCACAGATAGATTTGGTTTGGCCAAGATGCTGTTTGAAATATTTGAGCCAATTCTGGAAATCAGATTTTATATTTTATTTATTTATTTATTTTTATTTATTTATTTTTTTAAGATTTTATATTTTAAAAAAAGTCCAGACTTCTGGCTTCTCCTGAAAATTTAAGAGACTTAGCAACACAGCGTGTAGTTTTTTCAGGATGGCAGTTGGCTGGAGCTGAGGAGTGGCTGCTTTCTTCTAGGAGGCTATGCGTTCTGTCTCCCCAGCGCAAAATCCCAGCTCATTTCTCCCTTGGCCTCACCTGCTCAGCCCCGCAGGCATCTTAAGCGTCAGGCTCTTGCTTGGCTACCGGTGCAAGGCCTGGCCAAGGACTGGGGAGGTGGGAGCGGCACAGCCCAAGGGCCTCTCTTCCAGCTCAATGACTCACACACGTAGGTTGTCATTGTTCCCTGGCCCTCGCTGCCACCCTGAACACGGGCTCCTCTTCTTTAAAATTTCAGCATGAGGGACTCCTGGGTGGCTCAGCGGTTGAGCGCCTGCCTTCGGCTCAGGGCGTGATCCTGGAGACCCAGGATCGAGTCCCACATCAGGCTCCCTGCATGGAGCCTGCTTCTCCCTCTGCCTGTGTCTCTGCCCCCCCCCCCCATAAATAAATAAAATCTTTACAAAAAAAATGAAAAAATTTCAGCATGCACAGCTCTCAAAACGATGAGACAGGGAGGTATTTAAATCATCTTGTAAAGCAGCTAGTGGTGTGAATCACACACATCACAGTGCGTGGTGGGGCGCGCTGTGCGTGATGGCCTGCTTTTAGGCAAGCACATACTTAGAGGACTAACCTAACCCCAGTCTGGACTTTGTGGATGCCAGGATGCCACCCCCCCCTGGGAGACTTATTAAATGGACTATTCCTTTCCTCAATTTCTACATCTGCCCTTCTCATCTCAAAGTGCCCAACTTCAGACTTTTCAGTTAGTTGGCAAGAATAGCGTACTAACATCTGAGGAACAGTCAAGATTCTTCCCCGGGGGGGGGCAGAAAATCCACATTTGCAAAATGCTAATCATCTGCCAGGGTCATCAGGACAGGGGTTGCAGGAGCCCCAGGAATCCCCCTTCCTCGCCCCATTTGCATCAACTCTAAGGAACTAAGAGGTCAGTTTGGTAGTTCCCAAAGCGAAGCCTTTGTAACTATAAATAAATACACAGAACACAAGGAAAGCACGAAAGAAAAACAAACGGAAGGAGAAAGGAAATGAAAAACCTGACTTCAGTTCATTGAGAAAATTAGGTTTGAAATGCCCTTTCTGTAGCGAGTCCCTCAGCGGCTTGCTGCGCAAACGCCCAGGAGAACCCTTCCAAAATTCACTCCTCCTTCGCTCGGCCTTGGTGTTCCTCGTAGGCTGAGGTTCAGTATTTCTGGGACAGTAGGAAGGTTTTTGTGGACTTTGTCAAGCAGGAAGAAAAGGTCTCATGACCACAGAACTGGATACTTTCTAAGGTACAGAACAGTCAGCACTTCCCCCCCCGCCCCGCCCCGAAGAGAACACACAGTTGGCATGAGAGTCACCCAAGCGATGGGTGGAGGAAAAGAATGTGCAAAGTAGAAGACTTCCCGCTCCTTGTTCCTTCAGATGTTCACACAGTGCATCGCTCTAGCTCTACGCCAGGGATGCATCTGACCAGATGCAAAACGCTGGTCCCTTTTAAATGCTATTTGTGGACCAGCGTGCGTTAGATGGTACCGTCGGGAATGCTGGAATCGGGGAGAGATTGTATTTTGTTGGCTTTCTCCCTCTGCGGTTTGCGCCATCTGTTTCTTTTAATGCATAAACAAGGAAAATGACTGGCTTGGAATGCAAAGTTTTTAAAAACCAGATGACCACAGGCATCCTCTAAATGAGAAAGAGAGAGCAAGTTGAGGTTCTGTGACATTTGTCAGGAAGCAAGATGTTAAATACCGGGAAGCACGAATGCTCTCTGCCAGGGCAGATCCACCAAGGCAAGGAAAAGCTTTGCTTATGACCCTGCCTTTCTGAGGTCTTGCCATATGTTTACATTTCACCAGGGACTATTTTCAGATCCCGGCACCCCCGCCTCTATCTCCCAGCCCCCCTTCCCGTGTTTAAACTAAGGATGGAACCGCTCAGCTGGCCTTCAGCATAACCAGCCTTGGTTTTCCATTAGCATTATTACTGGCTTGGCAACCTTGGACAGAATCCGCTCTTAGAAACTTTCAGACTGAACAAAAGCTGTGCTGTGTGCAGGTTCTCTTACGAAGCCAAAATAGAGAGCTATAAATAGAGGGGCTGAGGAGATAAACTCAGAGAAGATACTTTACTTCTCTCCTGGATAATAGCGAGTGGGAAAAAAAAAATCCTATAAGGGCAGGAGGAAGACAGTGCGTTTTTCTTGAGCAAAGGGCATGCTGCTTTTAAAAGGAAGATTTGCTCTGCACAATCCAGTGGCCAGTGTATAAACGGTTCTGTATGCTCCATGCCAACAATCTTTAAAGCCATAGATGCCTTTAAAAAAAACAAAAAAACAAAACAAAAAAAAAAACATGGCAGTGGAGAGATCTGATGGGATGGATAGTGGCTGCGTACAAATCTTTACCTTCATTGCAAGAAGCCTGCAAGCGCCAGGGATTTCAGCATTTTAGAGCTCCCAGGGAGAGGGGGCATTGGTGCATCTGGCTGAGTTCCACCTACTTCAGCATGAGACGGACACCGAGCATTTTTCACATAGTTTTGTAGGCAGCCCGACGCCAGAATTTTCACATTAGAGAAAGGATCAAAGATGACAGTTTCTTAGGGAAGAACCAACTCTGCCTAATTTACAATGCCCCTTCTCCTAAAAAAATAAAATAAAATAAAATAAATAAGACTTCATGGGCAATACTAAGAGGGGCTTTGTTAATCATTTGGAAGGGGGATCCCTGGGTGGCGCAGCGGTTTGGCGCCTGCCTTTGGCCCAGGGCGCGATCCTGGAGACCCGGGATTGAATCCTACGTCGGGCTCCCAGTGCATAGAGCCTGCTTCTCCCTCTCTCTCTCCCCTCTCTCTCTCTCTCTCTGTGTGTGTGTGTGTGTGTGTGTGTGTGACTATCATGAATAAATAAAAAAAATTAAAAAAAATCATTTGGAAGGGCCTGCATTAGATAGAAACAAGACCCTGGTCATTTAGAAGTCCTTGGAGGACTAAATACGTTTCCAAATGAGTTTAAGTTCAAATAATTTCTCTACCCGTACTTAGGACACGGTGAAGGATGGTAGATAGGAAAATACGAGCCTGTCGGGTGAGGTTCGTTTCATTGGCATTGGTTCTAGATGCCAGAGTTGTGATGAGTGTGTTTGACTTCCCACATCCCTTGGACATAGGTACTGTCTGGGATGTCTGCTTCCCTGGTGGAAATGAGAAAAGGGTTAGAGACCTTGAACTCTGTTCCTGGTGACTCTCAACCCAGTCTGTCATTTGTTTCAAAGGTTAGATCGAAAGCTCCTGGAGGCTTCTGAGAGCAGCACTGCTTGAGCGTTCGCTTCATATAACTACTCTAGTGACCTATGGAATTTTAGTTATAATAATAATCATGTCACATGAAGAGGCGTCCTGGGGAAGGTATGAGAGGAATTTTAAGTAGTTCAACTCTCTATTTGCATTCTTCTCTTGACAAATAGTTTCAGAGCCTTTAAAAAAAAAATCGTGGGTTTTTTCCCCCCATTAGGCTATGTTTTTGGTGCTCCTAAGGGATGATCTAGGACCTTCATAATTTAAAAATGATTCTCCCCTAAGGTACATACTTGGGATTGAGACTTTGACCAACTTTGTCATTAGGAGGAAGAGGGTTGGAGCTGTTTCAGGGATTTGTTCTTTATTGGGATTCAAGAGGAGGTTTAAAAGTGTTCTGACCTGATGTCTCCTTCTTTTTCTCTTCCCCTCCTTGGTTTTCTTTCTTTCTTTTTATGGGAGATAGGTGACGGAGGAGTGCTTGGTTAGGAGTCTAAAAGATTCACTCAGGACTGTGGTACAGAAGTTTACACCCTCTTTGTCTTCCTGCCCACAGGTGGTAACCCCAGTGAGGACAGGCCAGGGCTATGTGTACGAGTACCCGTCCAGACACCAAAAGGACATCTACGACATCCCTCCTTCCCACACCACTCAAGGGGTACGTACCAGGACCGTGGTCACCGGGGGAGGGGAACACTTCAGGGTGGCATCCCTCAGGGCTTCAGATGTTCACAAATTATGCATGTTTCACATGATGCTCTATTTAGGTTATCATCCAGAAGCCATTTTCACCAAAGCTGTTTAAATTATGTTTTTGGGATTTTCCTTCTCAGGAGACCCTAGGCTTTTATCTGAAAAAGCTTTTGTTGCTTATCATTTTCCTTCGGGAAGTGTAAGATTTAAACTATAGTTCAAAGTACAGGCAGTGTAGATAATTTCACATAGGGTCACTTTTATACTCAATCTAAGTCAAAGTATATGAAATATAAAAAGAAAAATCCTATCAACCCCTTATGACATAGAGTGCGGCTAAAGAGCAAGGTTGTACATGTAACGTGGCAAATAAACCCATAATGAAAGGCTTAGCAGATTAAGAAATGACAAGGATACAATATTTCTATTCTGGGTAACGCAAGTGTATTCTCCTCAGGTGTATGACATCCCTCCGTCATCTGTGAAAGTCCCTGTGTTCTCACTGCCAGTGGGAGAGATAAAACCTCAAGGCGTCTATGACATCCCTCCTACTAAAGGGGTAAGTGAATTTCCTACGAGCAGCAAAAAAAGGTGTGTGTGTGTGTGTGTGTGTGTGTGTGTGTGTGTGTGTGTGTGTTTATTGGGATGAAACAAGAAGGGCAAACCAAAGGGGAAAAACTAGTCTTTATGAGAGAGTGAATGGGAGGAAGGAAAGGCCATAGTTAGTGATAAGTCTAAGGATTCCAGGGGTGCCTAGCTGGCTCAGTCGGTGGAGCATTCGACTCTTGATCTCAGGGTCATGAGTTTGAGCCCCACAGTGGGTACAGAGATTACTTAAAAAAAAAAGGAAAGGAAAAAAAATCTCAGAGAAGTCTAAGGATTCCATATTTACGGGATTCCGTAAAATAATTCAGTTTGGCAAGCAATAAATATATCTCATTTTTATTAGAAGTGTTACAGTTCGTAGACTGGGGTTGCTGCGTCTGATGCACTCTGTTACCCTCTGGGGTATTACAGCACAGCAAGCGTAGTTATCCTTATTGCGCAGAGAAGGGAGCTGTGCGTGGAGACATTTAAGCCGCTTATTCAGCATCTCATGGCCGATAGATGCAGGGAGAAACCTCAGGTCTTCTGACACCTGGTCCTGTGTGTGCACGCAGTCTGCCTCCCCGGCTGGATCAGCCGAGGAAGGAGACCCCAGGAGGTGGTCAGAAACGCGGGGCTGGGCCCCAGGGAGAGCAACTCAGCCAGGAAGGTTCCACACACAGGCAGCACTGAGGCCATGGGTAGGACGGTCCTGTCAAAGGATGAAGGAAGTGAGAACAGAACAGAGCGGAGCCTTGGGAACCACCGGCCATAAGTGAGTAGAAGGTGGAAGACATGAGCCAGTGATTCGGACTGAGAAATCGGGCCTCGTTTCCACGTCCTTTTCAGTTTCTGCATGTTCACATGAGCCAGCTGAACAAATAATAACTCCTTTTCCTACTCACTTTTCAGTTATATGCCATTCCACCCTCTGCTTGCCGAGATGAAGCAGGGCTTCGGGAAAAAGAGTATGATTTCCCCCCTCCAATGAGACAAGCTGGGAGGCTGGACGTCAGGCCCGAGGGCGTTTATGACATCCCCCCAACCAGCACCAAGCCCACTGGGAAGGACCTTCACATAAAATATAACTGTGATGCTCCGGGGGCCGCCGAACTGGCCACACGAAGACACCAAAGCGTCTTGCTGAACCACGCGCCCTCACAGCTGGGACAGTCACCGGGCACCCAGAACGATGCCTACGATGTCCCCCGAGGGGTTCAGTTTCTGGAGCCGCCAGCAGAAACCAGTGAGAAAGCAAACCCTGAAGAAAGAGACGGCGTCTACGATGTCCCTCTGCACAACCCACCCGATGCCAAAGGCTCTCAGGACGTGGTGGATGGTATGAACCGGTTATCTTTCTCCAGCACGGGCAGCACCAGGAGCAACATGTCCACATCCTCCACCACCTCCAAGGAATCTTCGGTGTCCGCCTCCCCATCTCAGGACAAAAGGCTCCTACTGGACCCAGACACAGCCATTGAGAGACTTCACCGGCTGCAGCAGACCTTGGAGGTGGGCGTCTCCAGCCTCATGGCCCTGGTCACCACGGACTGGCGGTGTTACGGATACATGGACCGTCACATCAACGAGATCCGCAGCTCGGTGGACAAGGTGGAGCTGTTCGTGAGGGACTACCTCCATTTCGCCAGGGGGGCCGTGGCAAATGCTTCCTGCCTCCCCGAACTCACCCTCCACAACAAAATGAAGCGGGAGCTCCAAAGAGTGGAAGACTCCCACCAGATTCTGAGCCAGACCAGCCACGACTTAAATGAGTGCAGCTGGTCCCTGAATATTCTGGCCGTCAACAAGCCCCAGAACAAGTGTGATGACCTGGACCGGTTTGTGATGGTGGCAAAGACAGTGCCCGATGACGCCAAGCAGCTCACCACGACCATCAATACCAACGCCGAGGCCCTCTTTAGACCAGGCCCTGGCAGCTCGCATGTGAAGAGTGGGTCTGAGAACATCATGAACTCCACGGAGTACCCACACGCTGCATCCCAGATGCCTCTGCTGCATCCTGGGGACCACAAGGCTCAAGGCCTCAACAAGCCCCTGCCCCCAAGCCTGGGTAAGGACCAGCCTCCTGACTGCAGCAGCAGCGATGGCTCTGAAAGGAGCTGGATGGATGATTATGACTACGTCCACCTACAGGTAAGGAAACCAGGCTCATAAAGCGCCTATATTCGCATTCAAGGAGCCTGGGGCTGATGGGTGTTCGGCTATTAGGCTGACCTGCCAGAGGCAAGAACGTGATTAACGGTTCCCAAGCGGGATTGTAGTTCATGTATGGAGGCGACATTGTACGGTAGGAAGGGTGCGGAGTCCTCAGTTCCAGACCTTTCCCTGACACTGTGTGTTATTGAACGTCCCTGGGCCGTTATTATTTCTTCATTTGCAAAGTGAATGAAGCACAGGGTTGGAGTGACCCATTGGTATGCCCCAGGCAAGCAGGAGGAAGACTCCCCAAATAGGAAAGTAGGCCCTCAGATAAACACGGCAGCTCCACCTCTATTTGCATTTTATGGTAATAGAGTTCTGCATGGTATTTTATTTGAAAAGGGAAAGAGGCCCTGATAGGAAAAAAAAATGAAAAAAATGAAAACCCTAGACTGGAGAATTTCTAGGTCCCTTCAGCTCTATAATGTGTGTGTGTTTATGTGTGTTTAAGTACTTACAGAAAAACTTCACCCCACCTCAGGTTTAGCTTGAGGAACATTGGGCATTTGTCAATTGACCTAGAACTTCACCAACACATGGAAAATTGGGCAGGCTCAGTCTGCCTCCTACAAGTGGAAAGTCTGCCAAGTTGACCTGGGATCACTGTCACTTTGGGAAAGTCAAACATTCAACCAAGATCCATTATTTAGAACTTGGTGTACTATCTCCTTTGGCCATTCTTTTCAGTTGACTGAGAGGGATGGATCATCCTGGGAATTGTGCATTCAGGAGACTGGGGAAGGTAGAGAACTGAGCCCCCTTCCCACTCCCCACTGCTAAGGAAAGGTGTAGGGAGAGAGTAGATGGGGGCATGCACCATTCCCCTGGTGGTTTGTTCAGCTCGCATGTTGGGAAATACTAGAAACCAGGGGTGCAGTGTGGACCCCATTTAGACCTATGTTAGGAGGCTTATGGGTTTGCAGATAACCTATTAGAAAAGAACCCTGAGAAATAGTACTGCTTAAGGAGGTTTGAAGGGGATTGTGGATCTCCCAAAATGGTAGAGTGGTGCAGAGATGGTGGCACACTACATGGAAACAGATTTTAGTTTTCTGCCCTTCCCTGCACAGCAGCTCAGAAAGTCTGGTAGGGAAGTCCACCCTCCCAGGCTGGTGTTCACAGGGCCTAACAGGGCCTAACAGGGCCAAGGCAATGGAAAACAAAAGAATATTTACACATTTGTCAATGGAAGTGTTAGCACAAGTGAATCACAGGGGTGATAAAATGTTTTCTTTATGTTGAAAAATAATAGGGTAAGGAGGAGTTTGAAAGGCAACAGAAGGAGCTGTTGGAAAAGGAGAATATCATCAAACAGAATAAGCTGCAGCTGGAGCATCATCAGGTAAGCCCAGCCAGGACAGAACCTGCCTGGTTGTGCGGATTTCCCGCTTTGTAGGAAAGGTAGCACTCCAGAAGATCCTGATTCTGATCCTTCCAGCATACATGGGCATAAATAAGCTCTAAGGCTCCAAGCGCCTGAGTGGCTCAATCAGTTAAGCATCTGACTCTTGGTTTCAGCTCAGGTTGTGATCTCAGGGTTGTGAGATCAAGCCCCATGTTGGCTCCATGCTCAGCATGGAGTCTGCTTGGAATTTTCTCTCCTCTGCCTCCCTCTGCACTCTCTTTCTCTCTCTCAAATAAATAAATACATCTTTAAAAAAAATAATAAGCCTCAAGGCTTATAAGAGGGGATAAGAACAAAGAGAAAATTTATGGCTTTAGTAATCCAGATGGTTATGTCCAAACAGCCATTTCTCCAGGCTACATCTGTACACTTAACATATTAGGACTCATGGGACGCCTTCAGCTCAGGGTGTGATCCTGGGGTCCTGGGATCAAGTCCTACATCGGGCTCCCTGCAGGGAGCCTGTGTCTCTGCCTCTCTCTCTCTCTGTGTGTGTGTCTCTCATGAACAAATAAATAAAATCTTAAAAAAAAAAAAACATATTAAGACTCTTTAGGTTAATGCCCTTGGTCTCAAGAAGCAAGTCCTAGTCAAGCTAGCCCAAGCAAACAGGTTGTATAGTAAGGCCATAGAAGGGGAATACAGGAACAGAAAATACAGATACAGCCAAGTCCGATGAGAGCTAGGACTGTAAATTCTCCTTCCTTCTTATACTTCATTTGCTTTGCTCTAAATCTGCTTTCTTCTCCTCTATTTTCTGAGAGTTTCCTCTGCGTATCTACTCATTTGGCCCCCTTGAGCTTTACAGAACCCATCAGTGGCCATTCAAAGTCCTTTCCACAGATGGCTTTTCATCTCAGCTTCCTCCATTGGATATCCCCTTACTGTGGTTCATCAAATTCCTTAAAAAAAAAAAAGAGTCATATTGTGCTCTATCTATCTATCATCTATCATCTCCTACAACACAAGCCTATGGCTAGGCTATTCTTGGTCCCATCTAAAAGAACAAGGGCAAGATCAAATGTGTCCAAGCCCTTAAACAGGGGATTTTGGCAAGGCAGTTTTTCACTCAAAAGTTGGCCATGAATGGGGTTGATAAGGTATTGCTGATACAAAGGCATAAAAATAAAGAGTAATGGATTGAGGATTTAGATGCTAAGTCGAAATGGTATGTCGAGACATGAACTGTCACACTCCACTCAGGAAACTCATTTCCTTTTTTAAAGATATTTTATTTTATTTTATTTTATTTTATTTTATTTTATTTTATTTTATTTTATTTTATTTTATTTTATTTTATTTTTAGAGAGAGAGTACAAGAGTGTGAGCAGGGTTGGGGGAGGGGCAGAGGGAAAGGGAGAGAGAGAGAATCTCAAACAGACTCCTTACTGAGTGGGGAGCCCAATATATGGGGCTTGATCTCACAACCCTGAGGTCATGACCTGAGCCAAAACCAAGAGTTGGATGCCTAACCAACGGAGTCACCCAGGCACCTCAGGAAACCAGAGTTCTAACCCTTGCTTTCTGACTAGCCAACTGTGTGACCTTAGGCAAATCTTAACCTCCCTGAATTTGTTACTTCTCTATAAAAATAGCCCCATGTCTCCATCTAATAAGATAATATATTTATGGACATATTTGCAGGAGCATAATTGAAATATCTTCAAACATCACCCTATATCTGTTTATGTCTGCTTTGGCATTTGGCCAAATGCCCTTCTGCAGGGCTTTAGGGAGCGTGTTGAAACCATAGCAATTCCTAAGAAGAAAGCAGACTCTGTTGAAAAGTAAAGCTCGCTGTGCCTTTCTTGGAGGAGAAGCTGGATGAGGCTATCCCCACTCTGACTGAGCACAAGCCCTGAGCCCTAAGCTCACATCACAGGTCATCCTTACCTGCAGAAGAAGGTCTCTCCTGAGACTTGGTGGAAGAGTATGAGAATATTCTAACTGCAGTCTAAATCCTACAGCAGTTGGGAGCAGTGAGGAAAGAAGAGAGCTAACACACTGAGTCTGACCGCATGTGAGGTTCTTTTCTTTCAACAGTAGGGTGGCTAAGTGCTACGATGCACAATTAGCATTCAGATTCCCTTAGAGATGCTCTTTTCCACAGTGCGCAGATATTTATACGCGATAGTCTCTCCCATAGGGCTGCATAGTAACATTTACAAATCTTGACTCAAAAAGTAGGAGAAACAGAGAGGGATCATGGATTGTCATTTGTCTAAGAGTCTGGAAGGGATAGAGTCAAGGCTTTCCCAGAGAAGGAGCCAACGGTCAGTGATTTACCTGATGAAGAGATCCCTCCATTTGACTTTCCCTCGCCACCACTCAACGTCGAATAAACATTTACATGGAGACTATGATATACCAAACACCATTCTGAGCACTTTGTAAATGTTAACTCAGGGAACTTTCATAAAGGTGCAGGTAACAGAGCTGAGTAGCAATGCAAGCTGCCTTCCAGCCTTAAAGCAGAAGAGCCAACACCCAACCACAGGGGCCTGTGCTGGAGGATTCCTTAGGGATCTTCTTTCTCAGCCTCTACGTTTTACACTTTAGGAAAGCAACACCTCCCATCTAATGAGCACTTGCTTCTTAGTAGGGATTAAAATCCCTGTCCAGGCCCTGGCTAATGTCTAGCACAGCACACTGCCTTCCCCTTCACAAAATCTTTTTTTTTTCTCCCTTTGCAGCTAAGTCAGTTCCAGTTGTTGGAACAAGAAATCACCAAGCCCGTGGAGAATGACATCTCAAAGTGGAAGCCCTCTCAGAGCCTCCCGACCACCAACAGCAGCGTGGGCGCTCAGGATAGGCAGCTGCTCTGCTTCTACTACGACCAGTGCGAGACCCATTACATCTCCCTCCTCAACGCCATCGACGCCCTCTTCAGCTGTGTCAGCTCAGCGCAGCCCCCGCGCATCTTCGTGGCCCACAGCAAGTTTGTCATCCTGAGCGCACACAAACTGGTGTTCATTGGGGACACGCTGACGCGGCAGGTGGCTGCCCAGGACATTCGCAACAAAGTGATGAACTCCAGCAACCAGCTCTGCGAGCAGCTCAAGACTATAGTGATGGCAACCAAGATGGCGGCCCTCCATTACCCCAGCACCACGGCCCTGCAGGAGATGGTGCACCAAGTGACAGACCTGTCCAGGAATGCCCAGCTCTTCAAGCGCTCTTTGCTGGAGATGGCAACCTTCTGAGGGGAGGAGGAGAAAAGGGGGACTGAGTGCGCTACTAAGGAAAACTGGAAATGCTATCTGGTTTTTGTACATGTTATCTATTTTTGTAGATAATTTTATATGAAAATGAAATATTTTAACATTTTATGGGTTAGACAACATTCAGAAATTCAGGGAGCTAGAGGGGGAATTTTTTTTTCCTGTGTGGTTCTTACATAAACACATCTAAGGCATAAACTGTACAGAAACTTGTCCACGTGCGTGTGTATGCCTGTGTATTCATGTTCGTTTGTAGATGTTTGTCCGATACATTCCATTAGAAAACATGAATGAAGAAGCACCTTAGTAAGCACGTCCTAATGCTGCATCTTTTTTTTTTTTAGGAAACATACCAGCTAGTTGTAATATTGCTCTACATATACTAGCAATTATTCTGAGCCTGTCACTTCCAAGTCTGGGAAGCACAGTATACATATCAGTGTTCACCTTCCAATAGTAAGGCATAGTATGAACTTGCTTTTGTTCTGAAACCTGTTTCAAAATTGACCATGTGGGCCCATTGTGGCAAAATGCTTCACTTCTGATTGAAAAAGCCCTTTTATAAAAGAAGTTTCAGGAAGTATATGTTAACCCAAATGCTGATATAGGCAGAGATCATATCCCTAGGTAGGGCCGGGTTGTTTCAACACAGAGAAGACATTGCACTAGAAGGAGTTCACATGGTTCCCCAGGACTTTTTGATGGCATTTATGAGACACTTGGCCGAGAGGTTTTCTAAAGGGTGTTTCAAGATTTGCAAAAACCATATTACTGGGCAGCCCTGGTGGTGCAGCGGTTTGGCGCCGCCTGCAGCCTCGGGTGTGATCCTGGAGACCCATGTCGGGCTCCCTGCATGGTGCCTGCTTCTCCCTCTGCCTGTGTCTCTGCCTCTCAATCTCTCTCTCTCTGAATAAAATAAGTAAATCTTAAAAAAAAAAAAAAACCATATTACTTGCAGCAGGAATTCATAAAGGCATCAGACTATGATTGTCCATAAAAAGAAGGGATGGTTGCATCTGCCAGTTGTAAACAGAGGCCCTTCTGACTCCCAACATTCACTTCAGTGCTATTACCTCCATTACCTTAGAAAAATCAGCCAGTTCCTTGGTCACTTAAAGGTTAGAGCCACCAGGCCACATCCTATTTCAAAGGGAGTCATTGCCTGATCATGCACCCTCCTTAAAACATGCAGCTGCTGACCTGACACTCAGCCCATCCAGTCTTTATAATTCTCTCTGGCCCATGACCCTGTGTACACAGCCCACCACCATCTTATAGTTCATCACAGCCCCCATTCCAAGTGTGTCTCTTACACTGCGGATGTTGACACAGCACAGACGCACCCAGAAGCTGTTAGATTCGTTTTGGGGGCAAATGAAATACTTCCTACCTAGTGGGTTAATGTATCCACATATTATCAAGTCAGGAAGCATGTTCTCTACAGACTTTCAGTCCAGTTGTTTTTTAATGGTTTTAGCCTAGCCTATTTGAAAACATTTTTATTTGCAATATATTCCCTGACTTAATCAAGCTTGCTTTAAACAACCAAACCATTGGAACAGGAAAGGATTTAAGAGAGAAGAACATGTGATCTAAGTGTGAGAAAAAAAATCACAGAAGGTGCTTTTTGGAACAATTGTTATTGTTCTCCGAGTTCTGCTCTGTCAAAAGATGATTAAAAGTTGTATTGTTATATGACAAGTAAGCATGGGGGGAGAAAGGAGATTGCTGAAAACCAGCTAAGCAGGAGTTGAAAGGTGTCCCTATAGGGCTCATTGTATAACGTGTGTTTCTTAGGTGATGACAGACTTGTTCTAAGCTAAGTGGTGACATTTCACGCTTTCAAAACCAAAACGTTCAATCTGTATTATTCTCTTTCCCATGTTGTATATAAAGGATATTTTTAAATCATTAAATTTTTAGATCTCGATTTCCATAGGCACTGGGTTTTCTTTTCTTTATTCCTCTCTTTGTCACAGCATTGCATGCTGGCTTAATTGAGCCCTTTTAATATAGAGAGTTAAATTATGGTTACTGTGTCAGTACTATAGATCTAGATTGTTTAGGAAAATTGAGAGTCATTTTTTTCATTTTGTATCACTTCAGAGTACATTTACAGTTGAAGAAAATTCTGGAATCTGTGAACATTACCAAACCCAAATATCTAGAACAGGCTTAGCTTCAGCAGAGAGCCTATATAGGTAGGATGATGTCTGCTATCATAATATAGATGTTACCACTTGTGAGGTTTTAGGTTCAATGAGAATTACTTAATTCATTTTGGAATACACACAAAAAATCAACAGTTAATGCCTGCCTAGGTGGCTTGGTTGGTTAACTGTCTGCCTTCAGCCAGGGTCATGATCCCAGAGCCTCAGGATAGAGCCCTACATTGGGTTCCCTGCTCAGGGGAGAGTGGCTTCTCCCTCTGCCCCTCACCCCACTCATGCTCTCTCACTCTCTCGCTCTCTCAACTAAATAGATAAAATATTTCTTTAAAAAAAGAAAACGAAAACTATATTTGATGAAAATTAGATTCATAACTACATAAATTATTTTTAATGCTTAAACCACACTTTCACCCAGGTATACTACTGAGATTTATAGATAAAGTATTTGAATATACTCTGTATCATTTCTCCCACATCCATAAACATGAATTGATTTTCAAGAAAAGCGTCAAGACACTTTAATGGGGAATAGCAGTCTTTTGAAAAAATGGTGCTGGAACAACTAGCTCTTTCCATGGAAGAAAATGAATACTTACTTACACTCTACACAAAAATGAAATGGATTATAGACTCCAATTTAAGTTTCTAGAAGAAAACAGGAGAAAATTTTTATGATCTTAGGTAGGGAAATGTTTCTTAAATAGAAAAATAAAAATAAGTAAGTCATAAAAGAAAAAAAGTTGATAAACTGTATGAATGGGCACTAAGTAAATGAAATATAAACACACCAAATAGAATCACTAAAATTAAAAAGGCAAGCTGTACCAACTGCTAGACAGGGGAGTGAATGGAGCTCTCACACATTACTGGTGAAAGTGTAAAATGGTACAAACACTTTGGAAAATAGGCAGTTCCTTAAAAAATTAAATCTGTACCTAGCATACAACTTAGGAACTCCCTTCCTAGGTATTTAAACCCAAGAGAAGTAAAAGCGTATGTCCACGCAAAGGCTTGAAGAAGAACGTTCACAGCAGCTCTATTTGTAATAGCCAAAAGCTAGAAACAACCCAAATGTTCGTCTGTGTAAATAAATAAAACCACTGTGATGTATCCACACAACGGAATACTACACAGAAATAAAAAGGAACAAAAAGATTGAAACAAAAATAACACGAATGAATTTCAAGCATTACAATACGTAAAGGAGGCCAGATAGAACAGAATACACGTGGTATGTTTCCAGTTATACAAAATTCTAAAAATGTAAACTATAGTGACAGGAAGCAGATCAGTGCTGTCCTGCAAAGAGAAGGGGTAGGAGGGATTACAAAGGAGTTCAAGGAAACTTTTGGAAATGATGAAAATGCCCATTTTCATGATTGTGTGATGGCTTCACGAGTACACACATATCGGGACGCCTGGGTGACTCACCGGTTTAGCATCTGCCTTCAGCCCAGGGCATGATCCCAGAGTCCCGGGATCGAGTCCCACATCGGGCTCCCTGCATGGAGCCTGCTTCTCCCTCTGCCTGTGTCTCTGCCTCTCTTTCTCTCTGTGTCTTTCATGAATAAATAAAAATAAAATCTTTAAAAAATAAACCCACAAGTATACACACATGTCAAAACTCATCAGATTGTACACTTCATTCTTTTGTTAATTATGACTTATTCTGAAAGTAAATGGTCTATAAACACTCCAGTTAGAAGTCAGAGATTCTCACACTAGATTTGTTTTTTAAGCAAGACTAAACTATATACTATTTAAAAGACACCAACATTAAATAAAAATATGCAAATAAGTTTAAAAGCAAAGGGATAAAAAGAGATGTATCATGCACAATGTGATTTAAAAAAGAAAAATCTGGAGTGGCTATATTGGCAGACAAAGTAGAATTGAGTACAGGGACAAAGGAGGACATTTCATGATAAAAGGGTCAATTCATTAAAAAAAAAAAAAAGAAAAAGAAGAAACAGAAAAATTACTAACTGTGTATGTACCTAGTCACAAAGTTTCAAAATACATGAAAAACTGATACAACTGAAATGAAAATGGAAAATCTGTAACGATATGTGGAGATTTAGATACTCCTATCTCAGTAATTAATAGAACAAATTAACAAATATCAGTAATAACTGGTAAAGATGGAGCAACTGGAACTCTTCTACACCACTGGTAGAAATGTAAAATGGTGCAACCATTTTTGAAAATAGTTTGGCAATCTCTTAAAAAGTTAAACATACACTAACCATATAACCCAGCAATTCCAATCATAGGTATTTATTCAAGAGAGTTAAAAAATATTATGTCCACATAAAAAACTGTTTTATTCATCATAGTCCCAATGAAAACAATCCAATGGCATCAACAGGTGAGTAGAAAATAAATTATGGTCTATTCATACAATGGAATACTATTCAGCAATAAAAAGGAGTGAATGGCAGTAATTCTTTGACATCAGCCACAGCAACATTTTCTAGCTATGTCTCCTGAGGCAAGAGAAACAAAAGCAAAAATAACTATTGAGACTACATCAAAATAAAATGTTTCTGCACAGCAAAGGAAACAATCAACAAAGCAAAAAGGCCAACCGACAGAATGGGAGAAGATATTTTCAAATAACATATCCAATAAAGGATTAGTATCCAAAAATATATAAAGAACTTATAAAACTCAAAACCAGAAAAGCAAATAATCCAGTTTAAAAATGGGCAGAAGACATGTAAAGACATTTCTCCAAAGAGATACAGATGGCCAACAAACACATGAAAATATGCTCAACATCATGTACCATCAGGGAAATGCAAATCAAAACCACAATAAGATATCACCTCACACCTATCAGAATGACTAAAATCAAAAACATAAGAAACAATAAGTGTTGGTGAGGACATGGAGAAAAAGGAACCCTCATGGGGCCCCTGAGTGGTGCAGTCTGCTGAGCATCAGGCTTTTGGTTTCCGCTCAGGTCTTGATCTCAATGTGGTGAGATTGAGCCCTGTGTCAGGCTCTGAACTCAGCTAGGAATCTGCTAAAGTTTCTCTCTCCTTCTCCCTCTGCCTCTATCTGCAGTCTCTCTCTCCCTCTCCCTTATGAATAAATAAATCTTAAAAAAAATTAAAATTAAAGTTAAAAAAAAAGGAACCCTTGTGTACTGTTGGTAAGAATGCAAACTGGTGCAGTCACTGTGAACAACGTATGGAGGTTCCTCAAAAAATTAAAAATACAATTACCATATGATCCAGTAATCACACTATTTATCAAAAGAATACAAAAACACTAACTCAAAAATATACATGCATCCCTATGTTTATTGCAGTATTATTTAATAGTCAAATTATGGAAGCAGCCCAAGTGTCTACCAAGTGTCTACAGATGAATGGATAAATAAGGGTGATTGTTATATATATTATATAATGGAATATTATTCACCATTAAAAAAGAATGATATCTTGCCATTTGCAACAACATGGATGCAGCTAGAGAGTAGAAGTCCAGGTGAAATAAGCCGGAGAAAGACAAACACCATATGATTTCACTCATGTGGAATTTAAGAAACGAAACAAATGAACAAAGAAAAAAACAGACAAACCAAGAAACGGACTCTTAACTATAGAGGACAAACTGATGGAGTAGGTGGAGGGGATGGATGAAATAGGTGAAGGGGATTAAGAGTACACTTATCATGATGAGCACTGAGTAATGTATAGAATTATTGAATCATATTGTATACCTGAAACTAAATAACACTGTAAGCTAGCTATAAAAAAAAAAAAGCCAGGCAACCACAACAACAACAACAAAAAGGATTAAACTAATTATACATGTAACAGCATGAATGGATCAACCTTAGAAACATTTTGCTGAGAAGAAAACACACAAACAAAAGAGTACATATCTGAAGCTCTAGAAAACACAGATCTAAATTGTAGTAACAAATCAAATCAGTGCTTTCCTGAAGTCAAGGGTGGGAGTTGGGAATAATCTGGAAAAGAGCAGAAAGGAATTTTCTGGTGTGATAGATATGTTTTATTTCAGTGCCATATATTTATGATGGAAATGTTTTTGTCATTTGCACTGTCCAATGCAGTATACAATAGTCACATGTGGCTATTGAGCATTCAAGAGGTGCTTAGTACAACCAAGGAAATGGGTTTCAGTTCATTTTAGTTAATTTTAAATAGCTACAAGTGATGGGGCGCCTGGGTTGCTCAGTTGGTTAAATGTCCAACTCTTGATTTCGGCTCAGGTCATGATCTCAGGGTCCTGGGATCAAGCCCCGCATCAGGCTCCTGGCTCAGCGCAGAATCTGCTTGTCTCCTTCTAACCTCTGACCCTCCCTCTGCTCATTCTCTCTCTCTTTGTGTCACTCTGTCTCATAAATAAATAAATGTTTAAATAGCCACAAGTGGTTAGTGTCCACCATATCGGACAAGTACTATATCTACATCTTGAGTCTCAGGGTACTTATGCAAATCCAGGTATTTGTTAAAATGATAATATACATTCAAAATGGGTACATGTTATTGTAGTAAGTCATAGCTTAATAAACTTGATTTTAAAAAGAGGTAAAGCATTTCCCAACTAACTCTAAATAATGTTCCATATGTTTTTAAACCGATATTACCAATTAATCGACAGAAACATTGGAAGGCTCACAAAAGTAAGGTCAAATCAGCAAGTTTAGCTTTTTATTGTCAACCCAGAGGCTAGTTCAAGAGCCACCAGGAAGACAGAGGCAATTTCTTGCTCCCCTAGCCAG